TCCCATTCAGCCAGACGAGGACTGGTAGGTGGATAGCCAGCTTGATCAGTAACAAGAGTTGAAGCCTCAGAGGGGAGCCCAGGATTTCAGTTCTGAATTCTGATGTAAGGATTTTGAAGTTTGTCTCCTTGTGTTAAAATTTGTAGAGGGAGAGGGAGAATAGTTGAGACCACAACATGGCTCAAGTTTGAGCCTTCTAAAGCCAAGAATCTAGCAGGCCTATTAGCTTCCCTATAATTAAACTTTATTTGGAAACTGATCTCATTGATGATCTTCTTAATTCTATAGATCCACTGGTTGATGTGCCAGGGGGAAGATGTGGCAGTGATTAGCTCCGCCAGATGAGAAGAGTCTACTTCAGCAATAATGCAAACCCACTTAACTTCCGTGGCAAATTTTAAAGCCCAATAAAGGGAAGCAGCTTCTGTTTCCAAAGCATCTTGTGCAATATAGGGGGCCTTGAAATAAAGCAAAACTTTACCTGTGTGATCTCTGAAGATACCTCCAATACCAGCTTTCCTATTTGTGAAGCTTCCATCTGTATTTCTTTTCATGAAAGGGTAAGGGGGCTTCTTCCATCTGACTTTGATAACCATAGGATGTTGGGTATCAATATTAGTCATAGCCTTCAAAATTTTAGGGAACTTCTTCCAATTTATCAGCTTGTGTAAATAGGTCTGGCAGTTTACTGCCACAGCAACAGAATGAGTCACACTGTCCTCATGCTTCACCTTGTTCCTAGCATTCCAAATAAACCAAGCACAAATGAAGAGGAGGGACATTAGGTTGATTGCCTTCCAGTCTTTCAAGCTGTCTTTTAAATTTCCCCAGCCCACATTCAACAGGTTTAGGTTGCTGTTAGAGATCAGGTCATTCCAAACCTCCCTAGCAAAATTACATCTGAAAAAGAGGTGATCACTTGATTCTTTATTATTATTGCATAGGTGACATCTTGAGGGGCCTCTTACTCCTTTCAGCTTCAAAATGTCATCTGTTGGGATTAGATCATTTAGAACTCTCCAAGAGAAGAACCACATGGAAGGGGTTAAGAATTTTTGGCATTTACTGATATTCCACTTGCAATCTTCCCATTTGAATAAGCTATTATATATGTCCTTTGAAATGCTGGATCTAGTTCTTTTGATGAGCTGAGGTTGGTCTTTTCTATTTCTATCAAACTGGATTCAAGATATAATTCTAGCAACAGAATCTTGCAGGACTTTGTTAAAAGCATCCTCAGACCACTCATTACCATTCCAACAGTCTTTAACCAGAAACTCTTCACCTTTTCCATTTTGTAGAGGCTCCAATTGATCAGCAGGGCACCAGTTATCCTTCCAGAAATTGATCTCTCCCTTTTCTAGCTCCCAGATAAGGTATTTGTCAATCTCCTCTCTCCCCTTAAGCAATTGAGTCCAAATCTTGGTGTCTCCAACCTTCTTGGTAACTTCTCCAGGGTGAACATTTTTACAGTATTTAGCCATCATAAAGTTAGCCCACAGGCTTTCATTTTGTCTAAATCTGATCCATAGTTTACACATGCTAGTTTGCTACATATGGTGTAGACCCTTAAAACCCAAGCCTCTAGCTTCATAAGGTTTGGCCACTCTTTGCCAGCTAGCCCAAATCATTTGCATCCTGTTCCCAGCCCAAAGAAATCTGTTAAAAGTTCTCTCTAGCATCAAAGTGGTACTTCTTTTCATGTTAGCCACTTGGAGGGTATTGAGGGGGATAGATGTGAGGATGCTCTTTAGAAGGGTGATCCTACCCCCATTAGATAAGAATTAGTTAGTCCACCCCTGAAGGGTAGAAAGGATTTTGTCGGTAACCTCATCAAATTGTGTCTGTTTGATTTTGCCTCTGACTAATTGGGTGCCCAGATAATTGAAAGGGATGCTCATGGTAGAAAAACCTATGAAATTTTTCATCCACTGCCTGATTGGAGTAGGAACTCTCTTGCTTGTTAGAAATTGGCATTTTTCTTTATTGACTTTCAGCCCAGAAACTTGTTGAAACTTGTTCAGACACTCATCAAGGTATCTAGTAGCACCCTTGGTAGCCCTTGTGAATATGAGGATATCATCAGCATAAATCAGGTGACTTATATCCATCTTAGCCTTGTTGTGATAGACATTGAGCCTGTTCTTTTTTACCTGACCATCTATGAGTTTTGATAGATAATCTAAGACCAGAATGAATATAGTTGGAGAGAGAGGGTCACCTTGTTTAAGACCTCTATTTGCTTCAAAAAAACCATGAGCTTTCCCATTTATGAGGACAGAGTTGGCATTATCCTCTAACCATCTTTTAATGATCTAGCAGAACTCCACTGAAAAACCTCTAGCCTCCAAACATTCCATGATGAATTCCCAATTGACTATATCATAAGCCTTCTGTAAGTCCAGTTTATAAATGACATTTCCTCCTCTGCAAGGTCTCTCCAAGTCTTGTAAGAGTTCTTGAACTAGTAAAATTTGGTCTCCTATACTTCTTCCTTTCACAAAAGCTGCTTGATTGATGCTGATAAGTTGGGGTAGAACTGGTTGGAGTATGCTCACCAGAATTTTACTGATAATTTTACTAGTCACATTTGTGAGGCTTATAGTTCTGAAGTGTTTCAAGCAATTTTTAATAGAATTCTTTGGAATGAGAATAATTGAAGAAGCATTGAAGTAATTAGGGAGAGGGTGGCCTTTAAAAAAGTGTTGAATAGCTTTTATAGCCTCCACCTTGATTTCCCCCCAAGCTTTTTTGTAGAAGTCTGCAGTAAATCCATCAGGAACAGCTGATTTGCTGATGTCAATAGACATCAAGGCTCTCTTAATCTCCTCCTCCTCAGGAATATCAATCAGCTTTAAATTGATAGTAATTTTTTTGCTTTATGAGAACAAGTGTTTATTTATATGACCTCTATCAGTAGTATCATCCTTCATGAGTTGTTGGCAATATGACACAGCACTTTCAGCAATAATCTCCTCCTCACCTCCTCCTTCCTAAGCCAGTTACCATTCTGATCTTTAATGCAATGAATTGTGTTGCATTTCCTTTGATAATTGAAGCAAGCATGGTAGAATTTTGTGTTTCTATCCCCTTTAGTAAATTTAGTTTTGGAAGCTTTTTTGTTTAAGGAAATGTTCTTGCCAATTTATGGTAGCAAGAACTTTCTCATTGGCCTCTAAAAGGGAGTTATCATCAATGTTTCCTTTGTTGTGCTCCTCCTCCAGATTCTACAATTCCTGTTCAGCCTTATCCACGGCCTTCATCAGATCTCCAAAGGTCGTCCAGCTCCACTTTTTGAGGGCACTACCAACCTTTTTTTGTTTTTGCCACAAGCAGATGAATGGATCAGGATGTGACTCATTTTTCCAGTTCTTTTTAACAACTTTCAAGAAGTCCTTGTGCTGTGACCGTACATTTAGGTATCTGAAAGCACCCTTCTGACAGCAGCTCTTTGGGCCAATGGTGATAACCAAAGGTCTGTGATTTGATCCAGTAAGGCTTAAATGGGTGATAGTAGTTTGCAAAAAATTTTGGATCCAGTGGTCATTTGCTAATACTCTATCCAGTCTTTCCCACAAGTTTTTCCTTCTCCATGTGAACGTAGGTCCACTGTATCCCATGTCAAATAAGCCAGTGTTTTGAATATTGTCATTGAAGTTTGACATGATGACAGGATTGGGGGTTCTTCCCCCCCTCCTTTTAGCAAGTAATGAAATACAATTGAAATCTCCTTCCAGAATCCAAGCTTTATCAGTAGAGCCTTGAATGTGCTGAAATGTCTCCCACAGCTCAGATCTAGCTGTTTTGGAGCTTCCTGCATAAACAAAAGAGGCAGATCCATCAATTCCTTGAGTACTGATGCTCATATGAAGGATTTGCTGATGGTTGACTAAGATAGAACACTTCATTTCTTTCCTGCAGAATACCCAAATTTTGTTGTTTAGGTTAGTGAAGAGGTTAAAACCAGGAAAAATTTTTGCTATGTTCTTAGTGTTAATATGAACCATGGGTTCCAAAATGGCTAAGCAGCAGAGTTTGTATTTTTTGTTTAAGTATTTTAATCTTTTTAGAGATAAGGGGTTTGCAATGCCCCTTATATTCCAAAATAGCATGTTGATCATGGGGAGGGAGGGAAGGTGGGGGGTTGGGAT